AAAGTTTTTCTTAATTACCCATTTAAGCCGTCTCCAGCCATTATGAAGGGTTTATATATTGCCAAAATAACTTAATTCATTGATAGGTGACGTTTTGGGCTACTGCCCTTCTTCAAACCTTCTGCCTGTATTTATCAATATATAAACTCTTCATGTTTTCATAGTTAAAGCCAATCAAGCAGAAACTTTAACAAAGAACAAAAACTGTATTAAAATATATAAAAAATACTCTAATAAGATATATTCATATTCCGTAATATAGAGGAATTTAGTTTATAATATCTATTCATCTAAATGAAAATTATGTATGTCTGCTAATATAGATAAGCCTTTATTTATTAATTATTAGATATGTGAATACCTTAAAATACATGATAATTTCGGTTAAAAATTTATATTACATCCATATCTTTTGTACTAATTATTTTTTAAACTGTAGAAGCTGGTAAACAAATCGACTATAAACATTCAAGTAAGAGTTTTGAGTTTTAAAAATACGTTGATTTTTTTCTATTCTATATAGTTGTTAGTGTTGATGTTGTATAAAATATACAAAACATTCGATAACAGTCGTGAAATAACTCTCCGAACTGATCTGAACAGATATGTTTCATGCACATATATATATACCAACTTTTTCAAACATATATTTATTGTGAAATGAGGGCCACATTTTTGCATAGGCAGAGTAGACAGCTGCCTACGGCGGCAAATTTAAGAATGAAATCGACAACACAAATTTTATGAATTATGTTTTATTTAATTTTGTAAAATGGGAGCGCTGTAACCCGCCGTACCAGATCGAGGTAACTATTGAGAGGCTGAGCAATCATATGACTGGACACGTGACTAATGACTTAACTATTACAAAGGCTTCACTTCTAGAGGGATCATATAAAAGTGGGGGCGACAAAAACATAACTGCCTATGGCGGCACTATATCTTAATGCGGACCTGCAAATGAGCATCCTATTGAACATTAAACTTTTTTTTTATTAAAATAAGATTATAAATTGTCAGAATTTGTTTGAGTGATGACATCACAATTTAAAATTTAATTTATTATTACACCACACTTTCTTTGGAATGTATTTTAATAATCTAGCTAACAATATAATTTCTATACGTATTCCGAGTGTGATAGCATAAAAAAAAGAAGGGCGAATACAATCTAAATCTGTGTGTTTAGTTAGGCACTCGCCTTAAACTTATTTCTTATATGACACAATATAAAATGTAAGTGAAATCTGATACATTTTCTTTTAGAGAGGGCGCTAAGATAGTTTTTGACGTCAGTACATTAAGCGAAAATTCCTAACATTTTTTTCATTCATACGACTTTTGTGACCGAGAAGCACCTTCGAAATCTTTGCTCTCAATACATTTACTTGTAAGAGATCCTCTTAAGGAGTTTGTGTCGTGATATTGTGGGAAAAGTGAGTTATTTTGTGTAATATATTTTATCCAGTTGCAATATAGCTTCTTTTGCTGAAGTCAAAATATATAAGTATTAAAATTTAAAATAACAATACCTTAGGCTGTAGTTCCATCATTAGGCCTAGTTGCTTGCTTAATGCTTACTAAATATAAATTCTGATACTAGTACTAACCACTATTGTTCACAAGTGCTAGTAGTAGTTCTATTACTATTTAATCAAAAACACCTTAGGTGTGAAAGAAAGGTGAGGCCAATGAAGGATTGAGTGTGAGACTTAAAGTTAAAGGAATTAAATCAAAATTGGTAGCCAAACTGGTGAATTTTAAATAATGAAAATAAAAATTTACACAACATTGGGTTATGCAGTCACAAATTAGTAGATTTACATTGCAAGTTGAATTACGTAGCTAATAATTAATGAAATACAATTGAAAATTGTACCTGTAAATTAACTTTTCACTCCACATGACCTTGATGGCAGTGATTGATATCATATTATTGTTTTACCTGGTATTGGTAACCTGATATCGTGTGACACCTGTGTCAAGGCAAGATAAAATGTAATCCCAGTATAAGTACATCAATTTCAAACTAATGCATATGGATTTATATTGTATGGGTAACCAAATGTTAATAACGAGCTTATTTATCTACCTATGAAAGTATAGGAGAGATTTTGTAATCACATTGGTTGTAAACTTGAAATACCATGATAGACAGATACGTACCAATAATAACTTCTACCCATTCTGTGTCATGTCAGGATGTAATTGATACATCATTTATACCACTTTTATCATGGACTATTGTAACACTCATTCTGTTGCTGTAGCCACACACAATGATATGATATATAGCAAATTGTTGTCAGGACAACATAGTCTGTTTATGCCCAATGATATGAAGTAAAGCAATTAGTTGCCAGGGCATGTATAGGCTGTTTAAATTTTTTGACTTGCTGTCAGTTCAAGTTGGGCAGACATATCTAGGTATTGGTTTATGCGTTATGTAATCTGCACCACAAAGTTTATTGTATTGCTTCATTTCTGTAAGTTCAATGGCTAAAAAAAATTTTAAGTGGTTTTAAAGTTTTGTTTATATGTTTTCAAACAGTAAATGCTTCTCAATCCAACAAATCAAGCCAGACCAAAGTAGAGCATGAAGAGAGCTATTGTTTGATGTATCACTGATCTTTATTGGTCCAGTCAATTTGAACCAGCACCATTTTTGGTTTTAACATTTGTTCGCTGACTGCTGAAAATGGTGGAGAATGGGTTTAGCAATCATCGTGATGTTTTTAAAGTGAATTTACAATTAGTGGAAGTACAGTTGCTTTGAAATAAATAATGCAAATTCAGCATATATTAGTATGTTAGATTTTTTAATTTGTTTTTTGGTGTTCAATAATTAGTATTTTGTTTGTGAGATTTATATTCACAACCGAGATGTCACATTAACACACTTTCGTGGCTGGGAACTATAATTCTTTAGTACTCCCTATTGGTAGCTACACTTAGACTAGCATTGATGATAATAACTTTACAGTAAATATTCATTCATTAGTTAACCAGGCTGTGTTTTTTGTTAAACTTGGGGTATGATGGTGGGTAAAACGATACATAAATGACTATTTGCTGTAAAGCTCTTATCAGTGCTATAAATGTAGCTACCAGCTTGGCTGCAAATTTTTATTTCATTCCTTTAAGTCCCACACTCGGTCCTTTTTGGCTGAACCTTTTTTTTTCACATCTAAGGTGTTTTTGATTAGATTTCATGGTCATTACACACCAACAAACCAAAGCAAGTAAGAAAAAGCGACACTCGATAATAACCAATATTAGCTTTAGGATCACAATCCTATTATTTGGAACAGACCTTAACTTACAGAACCAACCATATATGGTGGTAGTTTTTCCTCTCTAAAACAGTATTAATAACTTTGTTTATATTAATGCCATGGAAAGTAGATTAACACTTTCTTGTCGTCACCAGCATGTACTTGGTACAGCCATATAAATCATCATGTATGTTAATGTTATGTAATGCTGAACTTTAATTAGGAGAATTTTATCAAATTTAGAAAATTTGTGCTAAAAAGTTGGCAATCAATAATGAATATTAACTGTCCACCCATATGATTCTTTTGAAAACTAGTGCTAGAAACTGTTAATATAGTTTGCTTGGCCTAACCAATACTTGTATATCTTCATGTGCTTTCACCCTATAGTTTTGCTGCTCTATATCAGCCATCATTAATCTGAATAACAAAAAACTAAAAGCAGTCCACATTTACTCTTAGGAGAAGCTGTAGCAAATATTTCTGATCGATAGCTCAAATGACTTTTTGTGTAGGTGTGCGCAAATATATTTTTCTGAAATTGAGCCATTTTTATCGAATAACTTTGCACATGTGGCTTATTTTTAGACCAAATTTGACTCGTAATTGTAGGTTGTAAAGTTCTATCAATGTACCAAATTTGAAAAAATCCATGAAAGTTAAGTACATTTTTCTACCAAATAAAGTTTCCGTACTTTCAGTGCAAAGAAAATAAAAGGAAAAAATTCAATCAAAATTTGAGATTTTATACCTCATATATTTCTTAATGGATTGCCTTAAATTTTTTATGTGAAGTAAGGTTCCAGTAGAAAATATGTGGTAGCTTAGATTATCACAGTCCAAGCTATATAAAGTGGAAAATTGCTAAATTATGACTCTTGTTGATAACACACTGTCTTGCAAGTTGTTTTGGCTCCCCTACACACTACCATGCATCTTGATAACTACCAGTACCAAGTACTCGTGTTAAAATTGAATGCATGATGAAGGCAAAGCATCAGCATCTAGTAATAATAATTTAATATTAATATTGTCCAAACTTTTGAAGAGTAACTGAAACCAGGTTTCATGTAATAACATGAAAGAGAATTGATTGTTTTTAGGAGTTTACAGACTAGAATGAGCTAAAGTGTATTTCATTTGAATACTATAATTAATGCATTTCATAATTAATCATTAATTTTAATGTAAGTGTATACATTAGCAATGATAGTAGTAGTAATAGCAGCAATATTGGTTTTATATTTGTCATTTGGGCTAAACTAAAATGAAAGCATGTTTGGAAGTTCTTATTGATAGTAACACAAACATAATTGCTGTATGGAATTATTTTACACTATTGTTTATTCATAAACTTTATGACTTAATACGTCGGTAGCTGTTTTTGTTTTAGATATTACAACCTACTAGTACTAATTCAAGTGTAATTATAAACTAAATTTGTTTTAGCTGTTATTAAAAATAATCTAATAAAGTTTTATTTAATGTATAGAAAGCACTTGAAGCAGTATCTTTCTATATATTATATATACTGAACATTGAACACCGAAAAGAGATGCTATGTTATTAATACTCGTGGAATAAAGTGATCAGATTTTCATAACCATAATAAAGGACACTTCAGTGAGGTAGGGGCATGAACAGTTGTAGAAGAGACTTTATTGTGAAATAAAGACTAATTATTTGAGAAATAAGTTTACAGAATACAAATTGAAAAACTGCTTTTTTGTAGTTATTTGAAACTTTTCTGCAATTCATATTAAAATAAGCATATTTAAACACGTCTTATACTTAAAAAAAACAGCAGAAAATTAATTAACTAATTAATTTTGTTGACAAGGAAACCAGTTTGAGACTAATAAAGCTTAGAGATGGCTTACATGAGTAACAAAGAACTTTATTACATGTTTAACACAATAACAAATGTAAAACAGTTTTACAAAATGTTATTATCATTGCCTAATGATGACAAAAGCTTGTTGAAACATTTATAATTTGTTACTTTATTAAATGTGTGATAGATTCTAAGATGCCTATTCAAACTATCTCTAAACGTTATCACAAAATAATGACTGTTATCTGGTGCTGCTCTGCCAGTTTAGATTGTTTAATCAATACCTAAAATTGAAATTTGTGAACTTGGAAAGTTGAAAAAGCAGTATTTATTAAAATTAATATTTGTTGGACAGGAATTACAGGTGAAAATGAACTAAGAAATAACAGTACATTTAATAAGACTTTTTGTAAAACCAGGACAACTACCTGTCCCAACAGCTGTTAGTGAGACAGAAAGCTGGAAATAAGGTTGTTTGGTAACTCTACCATAGAAAGAAAGATGATAGTTGTTATTGATAGCTTTGTCACATGTACTTGTGACTTTTTATACCCTTTCCTTGGAAGAAAAAAAAAATCATGGCTAAGATATTTTTTGTAATGATAAACATTTTCTAATTTTGGTAAATTTATTATGTTCTTTATGTTATGATGGTGATGTTGAACAATTTCATTATCTTTAAGTGTGTCTTAAAATCATTAGTACAGAACACCTTGAAGAGGTATTGTTTTCTCACTGGGTTTCTGTCTTATTAGGGAACGGCCCACCTTTGGAATTAATCACAATATGGTCTCTTTTTTAACCTTTGTTACTAACCCTTGATATCCACTTGATAGAATAGACAACTGCCCCTCATGAAATTTTGGGGTCTGTCAAGCAGCTTTTCAAAAAATCCTGGATTGATCAGTGGTATTGAGATGGGGGGTATCAGATTTGATATGATAAGCTTAGGACATTATATGTCACTCACCACAGCTATATATTGCATGGTGTATAATCTTTTTTGTTGTTCTTTCCTAAGTTCCATCAATGAAGGCAGTGCAAACTTGTGTATAATATCATACTCAGGAATTTATAAATGTAAATTACCATTTTTTTTTTTCATTTCTTGAATTACTTCCAATTGTAACATGAAACTACATTTGTTTATCCTAAGTAGCTTTAAGCTCGTAACAGTATACATCTATTTGTAATTAAATATTATTGTTTTATTGCCATTTGACTGTGTCTAACTACTGTTCGTGCCATTATAAGTTGTAAATTACTCAGGGAATGTGCAGCTCACATTACGCTATTGAATTACATTACCCACGAGCTACTCGCATGCATGCCTTATGAAACATTTTTATTATATTATTATTTATTTTACCTAATTCAATTGTAACTAACCTAAAAAGGTCCCTATTTTTACATTTTGATTACTTCTATAATAAATAAAGAATAGACATGACAAGAGCCACTACAAATTCATCCAAGCTAGTCACTAACTTTCCCATGAGAACGAAGCTTGTATTCAGAATGAAAATGATTTTTATCTATTCAGAACACAATGTTATACAATACATCATTTGATAGATTAAAAACCTTGACTTCCTATTAGTTTTAGGTAATATAATTAAATGTAAGAGAGAACTATTAACAAATCCTGAAAGAGAGGGTGTGGCAGGAGGGGTCTGATTTTCTATCTGATAACTGTAACCAAACAAAATTGAAGGCTATAAAAAATATGGTTTGTTTGAGCAATGATGATTTTATAGTAAGTAATTTATGTTTATAGTAAGTAATTTATGCTTAATTTCATACATTTTGTTGGGGTGATGGATAAAATAGAGAAAAGAAGATACCTAGAAAAAATGTGTCACGTGTGTCACACTAGGGGAAATTCAGGATTTTTGTAAACATATTGCCTTGTAGAATTAAGAACTTAAAACTTGTATACTATTAAAATAGGGATTATTAGCTAAAATTTTATACTATACTAATTGTTATAACATAAACAAAAAGTGGTTCAAAAAAATTTTGAATGTAGGACACCAAAACCTTGTGTCATGAGCAGTAAAGGATACCTGTGGCAATAGGGTTAAAGTGGTCGACATGTCAATGTTTTATGCCTATTTAATACTGATAATTTATTTTTATAAGAACTTCACTTTATATCATCCAACTTTATAACACTGTAATAATAGTATATTTGTATTTTTAAAAACAAAATTACAGGCCCTGGTTATGATGACTTGACGTTATGAAAGTCTGCATAGATCTTAAATATTTGTTGTGGGCAGTTATTACATTTTGTAATATACTTCATCACTTAAATAGCATTGTTGGCAAAAGGTTGAACGATAATGTATAACCTTTTATTACTATGAAATTAACTTGCTTCCTGAAAGATATTTTCAAGATAATTTTAACCGATCGCCTTTTCTTCCAGTCCTTGTAATGGTAGACTGTGTAGAATGTAAACTTCATAGCTTTTTACATGTGTGATTTAATGAAAAGGGAATTTCCTTTTTATATTTGTATGCGAGTGAAAAAATCTGAATGCCTAAATCTAAAATTGATTGTGATTAACAATGAGTGCAAAGGCTGGATAAAATGAGCCTAGAAACTAGATGCTGGCCACTGATTGCTAGTTGGACCATGCTAATCTATAAATGTTTGAAATATATAACAAACTTTGGAAGATTTTAATTACAAACCTTAGGCTTATAGCAAATTTTAGGAACCTCCAATCTGTGAACATAAATTTAGCCCTGAATGATATGAGAACTAAAAATAATTATATTAAAATGCCAAATAGCCTATAGGATAGTCACAGGCAATTCACACTTTTGACCCTGTTGGCTAAAAACAGACACAAAGAAACATAGTAGCCTACAATATTTTATTCAAAAACAATAGTTTGTTTTATATTTTCTGTATTTTTCACTTCCAGGAATGTGCATGTAAAAATTTCATCATCCTTGTCTTGAAGACAAGAAATATGAAAGCAGTGAACAGTTCAGTTGTTCCTTATACAAATAGTACTAAAAGGATTCTTTGCCAGACAGGTATGTATGTAGCTATTGTATTACATCATGATAAGGATTTGTCCTAGGATGTGCAATAATATAATTGATTTGTACTTAACAAACATTTGTGTAAGAAAATGTTCAAACATGTTTGTCATATGAGTAATAAGACAAATTTGTCATGTCAAATTTTTCAAAAATTTAAAAACGAAAACCAAAATCTTGTTCCGGTTTGTAGACCTTTGAATAAAGTTAGTCAAATATTAAATAAAAGTAAAGATATAATTAATGTAATGGAGAAAATGGGTATTTACAAAATTGAATGTAAATGTGGTTGTACATACATTGGTCAAACTGAAAGAAATGTAAAATTTAGAATAAATGGATATAAATGAAATGTAAAGAATAACAGTGAAAATTCTGCACTGGCTGAACGTCCAAGTCATATTGGTCATATCATTCAGTAGGAAAAGTTATTTTGGCTCAACCCAATGATATGATGACTAGAAATAGAGAAACTATAGATATAATGAAACACACTAAAAGTGTATGATATCTTAAGTAAAGATAAAGGGTTGGCAAGTCAGGAAATGTGCAAATGGCATGATCTTCTTAAAAGTTCAGTATGTAAACTAAGTAGTCTCATGATCAGTGGCTTTTTGTATGTGTATACAGTCAATCCCCCCATTAACATCCTAGTTACTTTCTTGAGAACTGTGATGTTATTGGGGACCCACTTCCCCATTGGTATAAAGGTACAAGTTGGAGTTGTATTCCAGCAGCTTAATTTAAAGTACTACATTTGATAAAAGGAATTGTATATTATGGACTGTTGGTATTTTTTCTTCTAAACCCTCAAAATCATAAATGCATTCCAGCCATATCTTCCTCCAAATTCTCTTCATAAAACTAGCAGTGACTTCTTTCCAGTCATGGTCATTATTGTAAGTTGCCTTTATGATATGATATGAATGCCAGAAGTCCCTGATTTTAAGGTTCTCATTAAGTAGCTGATGAAAGGTATGAAATAGATAATACTCCTTAACTACTTCCTGAGCCATTGGCTGAATGAGTGATGTTGTGTTTGGAAGCAAAAACACAGTCTGCACCAGATTGGAGGTCTCCAAATTGTCCAGATGATAAGGGAGACCGGAAGCATTATCTAGGAGAAGTAAGGCTTTTTTTTTCAGTTTTTTCAATGAGGTATTTCTCCACTGTTGGGCAAAAGTAGGAGACAAACCAATCTTGAAAAACATCAGTTGGCACCCACGCTTTGTGATTCGAATGCCAAACAACTGGTAGGTGTGGCATTGAGAATCCTTTCAAAGCTTGTGTCATTTCTGAATGATACAATAGCATTGGTTTCAATTTAAAGTCTCCTGCTTAATTACCACCACATAACAGGGTAAGCCGATCTTTTGTGGCTTTTAAATTCTGGAGCAGTCTTCTCCTCAGAAGAAATATGTGTACAGGATGGCATCTGTTTCCTAAATAGCCCCGTTTCATTTGCTTTGAAAACCAATTCACAAAAATTTCTGCCACTTTCTGTGATCTCCTTTAACTTGTCCGGAAATTGCAAATAGCTAATTTCTTTGCCTAAACCAGTTAAACCTATTTTTACTTACAGCAAAGGTCCCTGCTGTTGAGCTTTCATCTTACTCCTCTCGTAATTCCTCGTACAAAGTTTTAGCTTTCTCCATTACTAGAGCCTAGCTTAGTGGCATACAATTCTGATTTTGGTCGATAACCCACATTATTACTAATATTTCCATTTCTTCTGAGGTGCTATTTCTTGTATGGCTTAATTTACTTGAAGCTAAACGGCATATTAGCATGAGTTGACACTTATCTTCTCTGCATTCTTGAAAATTGTTGTTACCTGCAGGACTGGATGCTTCGATGCCATAATTCCAGTAATTTAGGGAAGTATTGACCAAATATTAGTGAGTGCTGCAACTTACAAATGCCAACATGTAAATAATGTTATAGTGCTGCCAACCCTGCATTGCCAGTAAAGCTAACGTACAAAAGAAATTTATGGAAAGAATTTTCATTGTATTTTTTTTTCATTTCTACTTTTTTTACTTTTATTTAATATTTATTTGATAATTTTTAAATAACATAAAAACAGAATGATGTAATTGGGGATGACATTAATGGGATTGCACAGATTTTGATTTTACAATCTTGCAGATGATGTGATTGAACATTGAAACATGTAGAGTGCCTGTTTTGAGACCAATGTCAGTTTCAGAATAAAGTTTTTAAATTGTATACTTAAAAAAACCTTAAGTTAAATGTACTCCAGGATTTATGAGTCTCGTAAAATTTATCCTATAATAAAAGTGTAATTGTGACATCTTATGTTTTTTTACATCTTTTAATTTTTGTTTTGTTACTAGGCTTTGGACAGAGTTTTTCTGGAAGCGAGACTGACGTGTCAACTTCTAACGAAAATCTTACAGCTGAAGAGAAGAATGTTCTTCGCAGTGGTGTTCGACAAGAACCACAAGGAGAAGAGACTCTAACTGATGATATGGATGCTACCTTGTCCAACACACTCATCATAAGAAATAATAGTTCTATTGATGGATACACATCTCCATTTTATGCCAAAACCAACTGGGGTAATAACAGCGTTAGTAGTACTGTAAAACAAAATCTTCGGGTTGAAGGATCTGCACAGTTTACAGCTGTAACTCCAAGTGAGTCTTTAAAAACAAATCCACAGTTAAAGGGAAATATGAACCGTGCTGATGTTCCTCCAATTCTAAAGACCAGTGAAACCAATGTTCCTTGTTCTCCCAAAATCTCATCTCGTCATATATTTTATCCTCCACATATTAATAATACCCAGGTATCAGGCTCTCCGAAACAGCTTCATCAGTTGTCTCCTGGCATTTTTCAAGCATCTTCTACAGTTGCAACAACTACACATACATATACCTACTCATCACCTCAAGGAGGTCAGTCATATTATGAACTCCCTGTTCAAGATCTGACCGAAATTCCCAAGCACTATCTAGATCAATCAGAAGTTTTAAAACATTTGGCTAAAGAAGTGCATTATCAACAGGTACCAAATGATTCATATAATTTTCCTCCACCTCCAAATTACCCCAAATGGAATATGGTGGCTATGCAAGAAATTAATGATACTGACTTTAGTAAGTTATCCCCTATGGGTCTACCTCCCACAAGAGGTGGAGCAATAAGTGAAAAGCCAGGTGCCAGAATGTCGATATCTCGATCTCATCCTGACTTGAGCCGATTAGAAACAGGAAGTAAGTTAGAAGATCCTGGAGTTAAGATGCCATCAGTTAATGAAAGGTATGTAATTATCTTTCTTTTTTTTCTTCATAAAATCGTAGAGATGATAAATGCAAATAAGACATGTTAATAATAATACATCACCAAAACTGTTGCATTAAAAAGATAATTTTTATTAAACTATAATAAAAATGCCTAAACAGACACATTATGATTATATGCCATGCTTAAATAAGAAAATAAATCCAAAGAGACAAAAGACCATTGGACCCATTGCACAAGAATAGGAACCAAAACATCGCACTGAAATTAAATGTATTTTTTCAAATTTACATACTTTCCAACAGTTGTTAAACAAATACATCATTCAGTAGTCTTAAAATTCCAACTAAGAATTATTTTATGAAAGATTGTCTACACCTAGGTTTCCAATGCTATTTCTTGTAATATTCAAGTTCATATTTTAAACCTTCTCAATCCATCATTCAAACAGACCACACATAGGATGAATATTAAAATTTTTTGTTTTTAACATTGAATCATGTTTTTTCTAATTTTTGTGTGCTTAGAAAAGAAAAAGTCCAGTTATCATTCTAGTTGACTGTGTTTATACTCTTGCTATCATTTTGTTATCTTGAGCAGCTTCATTCTTTTTTAAATGGAGATAAATGTTACTAAAAACCATCTGCAAACCTAACAAAACATGCCAATGTGATGAAGTTCAGAATATCTCCTGGTAAATAGATAATAAGGAATAAGGATTTGGAGTTTACAAAGTCTGTCGCAAGTCAAAAGTTCACAAACTTCCAGCCATACCTCGAAATCAATGACTGTTTTTATGAAAATGGTAGTCAAAGTTACTGGAATAGCAGCATTTCTATCTGATTAAATAAATGTTGAGTTCTTCAATGCAGCTCTGATGGATTTTTGCACCTTTGGCCTGCTTTAAACATGGTCTTGGAAGTTGCCATTCATATACAGTAAAGGATCTCTGAAAAGTTTCTCAAGAGATTTGGCCAGAGACTTACCTTGCCATATTCCATTTAGGCATGGATAAGTGAACAGTAGATTGTGATGCTGTTTTGAGTAAGGATCTGTTCCAGGGTGCCAGTCATCTATTGGACAAACCGGTTTAAGTTGGTTATCTGAGAAAGTTTTTAGTCATCTCAGATCATGGTTAAAATCAAGCTCCGCTAAGTGTAAACATATTGAGGTATTTTAAGAATTCCTGATTAGACCAGATGTCAGACACAGTATATTGTATAACTCAGCATGCAAAGACAAAAATTTCATTAAAATAAAATATCAGTTGCAACTAGCAGTGTTGAGATGTGTACCTTTCCAACTTTCTTTGACAAACCATGCACAAGTAAATGTATAGAAACAGTTTCTTCCCATGTTTTAAAATGTGGAAAAAATATCAAGATCTTGCTAACCCAGCTGGCTCTAAGATAAGCAGTTCTACTTACCTTTCACTTTGAAAAAGAATGACTATCATACTAATTTCTTCACTGACTGTGTACCAGCTAAAGCACCCATGCCAAGATCCAGAAAGTGCAATAACCGCTCCACTTTTAAACTTTTCTACATTCCTAACGTCAGAAGAAACTTAATGTAATTGTTTCAAACTCAGCTTGTACTGTCTTCAACTCCACTGCCAACTTTATGTACAACTTCATTAACATCAAGACAATGATACAGGGAATTATGTGCTGATGAAGCAAACAGAAACCTACAAATTGAAGTCAAGAATAAAAAACTAAACCAGGCTCATAAAAATTAATGTCATAACTTTGGGCCATTAGATGGATTGGAATTCTGTTTTTTACTTTGCATTAAGTTCTAGATTGGAAAATCTGGAAATTAAAGGAAGACTTCCATATTAAGATAACCCATCCAAAACTAAAACTCTATAGACTAAGAACTGAAATTGGTAAACTGTGGATGGTCCCATTTCTCTAATGTATGATACCCACAAACAAATATTCTACAGTATATATCCATCTTTTTTAGATGCTTTCAACACTTTTACACCATTTTCATTTTAACACTCATTTCTATATTTTCTAGATTTCCTCACTTCTCAGCTTTCTTTCACATTCTACAGTGTTATGTGGCAGTAGTATGAAACATTGCTCCAAACATTCCTTGTTCAATTTCCAAAAAAATTCACTTCTGATTAAGTAAAACTTTTAAATTGTAGATGAGTTGTTTTCTTATTAGGAAACCAGTGGATATTAACACTGACTTAATGCTTTTATTGTAAGAATATCTAATTAAAGAATTGTCGACAATTCATAAAAAAAAATAGGAAATCTTGTGAATTAGATATTGGAAAAAATAAAACTTGAACTTGTAAATAATATGATGAACTTTTAATCTTAATGTTTAGGATTTTGTAATGTGATTTTAATTGTAATTATGTTATTTTTTGAAATAATGACAGAAGAGTAATGTATAAAAGTGTAACTAGTGATTATAGATATGTAAAGTTGTAATTTTTTTCAAATAATGTTTAGAATTACTTACTAAAGAACTGTTTTAAACTATTTCATTTTAAAGAAATATACTGATATTAAGTTGTTTATAGCTAAAACCTGCCATCTTGGCACAATGACAAAAAGTTTGTCAGCGAAATATTTGTTACTTAGAATTTATATAAGCCAAAGCTTATTGTCTGTTCTATTTGGAATGTGAAAATTCAGTACTATAAATATAAGTTTAAATGCACAAATCATTTATATTTAATAACTTTGACCTTTGTATGTTGTTATTATTATGACACACAAATTCTACAACATGACAAATTTTTCCAAAATAGACCTAAAACAAGAGGTCGAGTTGCAGTGGAAGTTGATTCAGAACAGTTCCCTCTTCAGGCAGCCCAATTGATTGACTTACTCTCTCATGAAAATGATGCATTAAAAAGTGAATTGGACATGTATTATAAGAAGGTCTCCAAACTGCAAAAAGTAGGAGCAATAATTATTTTTGTTTTTGGTTGGTTAATGCAATTAAGGTTTTTCTCTATAAAGGAGTTATCATTATTAAGATTATCTCACTAATAAACTTCACTGACCGTGAATGTCTTTTGACTTTAATGACAAATCACACTGTTGAGAGATTTTGTAATCAGTCAAAAGCAAAGAAGTTTACAAAAAATCAGTGGTTGTGCTGAAGTCGCCACAGGTATCCTTTACTGCTCATGACACAAGGTTTGTGTCTTACATTCAAAATTTTATTAAAGTACTTTTTGTTTATGCTAAAGCAATTAGTATATCATAAAATCTTAGCTAATAATCCATATTTTAATAGTGTATGAATTTTAAGTTCTTAATTCTATAAGGCAATATTTAAAAACATCCTAAATTTCCCCTAGTGTGACACACGTGACACATTTTTTCTATGTATCTTCTTTTCTCCATTTTATCCATCACCCCTCCAAAAAGTACGAAATTCAATATAATTAACTCACTATAAAATCATCATTGTTCAGACAAACTATAATTTTTATAGCTTTCAATTTTGTTTGGTTACAGGGCAATCAAATAGAAAATCAGACCCCTTCTGCCACACCCACCTGTCACATCTCTTTCAGTTAATAGTTCTCTCATTCGTTGAATTACATATTACCTATAACCAGTAGAAAGCTAAGGTTTTCATCTATCAAGTGATGTATTATATTTCCCATGGGAAAGGTAACGACTAGATTGCATGAGTTTATAACGACTTGTCACATAGTTAGAAAGCCAGAATAATTTTGAGAGTTAGGGGAAATTGTCTACTTTTTTGCACATTATTATTAGTTTATGTTCTTTGGTGCATTATTTAATTAAATAAAAGTTATTTAGTGCATTACTACCATAAGTATAAAAAAAAAAGTAGGGTTAAGTGTCATCGACAATTGACAGCAAGAAAAAAGTACTTCATTGTTTTGTTTTTCATGTTTATTCTTTATTTATTATTATAAAAGTTACTAAAATGTAAAATTAGGGATCTCTTTAGGTTAGATTAAATAAAACAAACAATAATAATAATGTAATAAAAATATTTCATGCGGCACACGCGAGCAGCTCAGAATAGTGCATGGGTAATATAATTCGATAGCATAATTTGAGCTGCATGTTCCCCAAGTGATTTACAACTTATAATGGTGCAAATGTTAGTTATACACAGTTCAAAGAAAACAATAAAATATAAGTATAAATAGATGTATACTGTTACGAGTTTAAAGCTACTCAGGATAAACAAATTTTGGAGTATTTGTATCTACTGAAAGTTAATCACTGTGTTTCCTTGGTTAATAGATACTTATTTTTTATGTAGTTTGAACTGGAGATTCAGAAAGTCCATCAGTCCCATGAAGAACTAGTGCGTTCATCTGAAAAGAGAGAGAAATTAGAACGTGCAATCAGAACTCGACTGGAAATGGAAATTCGACGTCAGCGAGAGAATAATAAAGAAATAAAAGGTACATTTATAATCTAAGTGTGTATTGCATATGAGTAAGAATTGATGTATCATTCTTGCTAACAATATATGTAATTGTTACATTTATTTTCTCTTAATTTCTGCTTGGAGAAATGTTTTATGTGTATATAATTCTACACAGTTCAAATATAGTGATATTTCAAACAGGCTTTTAAAGAAATCTCTTGCCTACTTTTGTCTAAATTTCTTAAGTTTCTTTTTGGGATTTTAACTTAATTTTGTGGCCACCTATTTTACACTATAAGTCTTGAAATTGCATCCATAAGCCTAATGACAGTGTTTAAAGCCTTTGCATCAGGAAAATAGATGTTGCATTTCTGAAGATTTTCTACTTATTTATAAGCAATTAGTTATAACTAGTGAATGAGAATTTATCAGAAATATCACACTTGTATCAACATAAGTTGAGGAAAAGTGCTTATCAATTTGATTTTAATACACAGGTATTTTTGATTTAAACTTCTTGAGTGTCACTGGTGACTTTAAATTTACATTGTATCAGGGATGATAATTGGCTGACATTTGAAAGAGTTCTGCAATTTCTGTTTCATATTGGCCATCCACCCAATTCATTCAAATTCAGTGAGAAAAATGTGAGGACAGAGACAAAATACTTGTACTAGGTGGCTCAATCCAATATTGCCATGCCTGCTCTGATGTTTATGTTAAATCAAAATTAATGTGGGGCCCCTTACAACCAACTAATTCATGAGCAACTTACCCATTGCAAAACTTTTTTTTGAAGCCAATGTACAAACTATAGTGAAATGGCAGAAAAAGAAAAAAAGAACCAGAATAGAGGTAGGCTTTAAATCTTTAGCCATCTGCATTAATGGTGTGCACTTTTTCACCAATTTGCTTAGACGTACATAAAATAGATATTTTGCTTTAATCAGAAATTATTTTTATATGTGAAATCATTTAGATGGAGCCTAAATCAGACAGAGATAAGATCTGATGAAAGTTTGGGTGAACAGGCATACAACAAAAGTCGCAAAATATTTTTCAATAATTTAAGGATACCTTTTATAACTAATGTATTACATGTCACAGATTCTTAAATTATTTTCTGTATCATATGATATTCATGGGAGGGTGAAATCATGTGATACAGAAACTGGGAATTTCAGACACACAAAATCAGCACTGAAAAAAATGTAGTACAGTAGGTAGAGGTTCATGCTTGAACATGTATAATATTCCATATATGTTATTTAAAAGATTAGTTTGTAAATTATTGGTCAGTAATTTGCTCTAGAGGAAACTGGTTTGTATGAATGTTGTTTGAATATTATGTGAAGTGACTAATTTGTGCTTAACTCATCTGATCATTACAATTATAAATGCTTATTTTATATATTTAAGGAAATGATCAGCTTGTTTGTCAACTGGTCTGTCATTTTTATAATTAAAACATGAGTTAAAGTGGCAAAAGTCCACTGTCCACTGATCATCCCAGGGTAAATAATGTGAATATTTAGTGCCCAAAAATTGCCTAAAATGTGCCAGAGCACATGATGCTTCTGGATCTTCATCCTCTGTTGACTGGGACTGATGACCAGTCAAAAGTTTCAATTGCTGTTTTCATCCCTATTTTATTCTAATAATCTTGAAATTGCATCCATAAACATAAATAGTGGCAGTGTTATTTCTCTGCATTAGTAAAATAGATGTAGCACTTACAGAAATTGTCTGCCTACAAATAGTGATGCCCCCCAGTGGCACAGCGGTATGTCTGTGGACTTACAATGCCCATGATGGGCGGAGCACAGATAGCCCTTGTGTAGCTTTGTGCATAATTAAAAACAAACAAACAACTAGTGATTGAGAATTAATCAGAAACATTACATGTATATCAGTACAGGTTGAGGAAACATGTTTAAGCTGATCTTCATATATAAGTGTTTTTGCTCTTAGTAACATAACTTTGTCTTAATGGTTTTTTTCTTTAAAGAAAGTAGAAAAAGTGTGTTTAATACACACTACACAATTATATTTATTATATTTATTGATAGCTTCTTTTTTTCATATAGCACAACTCCAGCACTGGGAATAGTAAAAGAAAATATTCACTAGGGTATATTTGTTCAAAATAAAGTTAAACACATGTGAAATGTGAAGATATTAGAAGTAATATAGAGATTAATGATTAGTAATTTGTAGTTATTTTGTGTTGTGAACATACATTATAAAATATTGGAATGATATTGTAAATTGTTTCAGTTTGTTCATATTGTTTTGTATTATGTCAAGTAGCTCTTTTGTTCAGTACTTAATTTTTATTATGTAAATTTCATATTTTACAGATCTCTCATTTTTCATAATTTTTACTCAATTTTGTTTAATAATATAGTTCATTCATTCAACTTTTATTAGAGTATCTTATTTTAAAATTTCTTTGTATGTTTGAAATTTTATTTGCTTTTATCCTAATTTTTCTTCAGAACAATTAGAAGCTGCCACATCTCAGTTAGCAAAAAGACCAGTAAGTGTTTTTTAACCCAATTATGATTTGTTTCTCAACATTGCATGCTTATTTCCATCAAATCTTTAGTTTCATATAATTTTATTTTAATTTAGAAACAGTTAAACTACTGTTACCTGTTGTGCACTGTTCTCTAATTATTATTTTTTTTGTATAGTAAGATGTTTTTCAAACATATAACCCTAATGAAAGGTTTCTGTAAATTTTTGTAGATAGACAAGATACAAATGTTGATTTTTTTTTGGTGTTATAGCTGACAGAACTTGATGATTCAGAATTAGAGAAGGAACTTGGAAGAAAAGATATGATTGTAGCCCAACTTCTTGGTCAGAGTGAGTAATTTCATATTTCGTTTGTTCTAGGCCAAAATAAATGCTTATCTCAGTGTATGATTATTTGTTAGGCTATTGAGTTTCAAACCATGATTTTTTAATACACAATGTATGTCTGGCTTACATAAGTATGTGTTGTATTGTCTAAAGAGGAAATTTGATAGATGTAACTCTTTGTTTGTTTACTGGACAGTGGCATGCAGCAGCTGTTATTGGAAAGTAAGTTTCTCCAAATAAATTATGACCATATGTTATAATAATAAATGAAAGTACCCCAGCTAAACTTTTGACATATTAAGTATTTTACTCTTTAAAATAAATAGCAATTGGGAAAATGAAACATCAGTGCTGAAAACTTGCATATTTTGAAACCACATTCATCTCTCATACAGTTCAGCTACCTTCCTCAGCTCTTCTACATGTTCTGCCAAAGAGATTGCATGCCATTAGTCTTGTGAAAACTTCCACCTAATTTCATGTGAATTTGCACCACTGCATGATGATGATGTCATCATGCAGCAAAAGTCCTCCTCCGTAAGGAGGACAAAACATTTCCATACATACTAACTCCACTTATGCATTTGCACTCCTGAATCTTCATTCTTCTCCTTGGCACCATATTGACTAGACATGTTCTTTCTTTGGTTTCTCTGTCTCATCCATCCTCCATTCTTTGCTTTTCCCTTCACCTCAGCATCAGATCTTCTCATATTTGTTGTTATCGTGTGAACCTTTAATTGCCATATTCACCATCCATGGCTAGCATTTCTTTCTTTGATTGTTTATATCTGTTAACTCTTCCAACACAGGGTCGGTCAATATGACCGAGTCATGTGACCTTCTGTACTCATTTAAAGTTGACATAAATTTAATACTTATAATTCTCTATATATTGGGTATATCTTCACGAAATTTGGCAGTCTTTCAGTTATATTACAAGTCTTTCACATACAAAAAGTCGTATTTCTTAGTGAAGTACTTTTACTAAAAATAAAGTTTTGTTCATGAAAATATTGAGTATTAGTTTTGAATAGTCCGTGTGCAAAGTAATTTTCAGGTTAAATTAAAGATACTTTTTCGTCATCTCAAAAATCTAAAATTTCCTTTGTGTAATCCCTAAAACCTCCTTAATGCATTTCAAACTTTTTTTTCACTAAATCCTTATAGTTTATTTCTCTACCCTAATCTCAAAATGGGATCAGTGAATTTGTCCGACCTTGTAACCACCGAAAAAAAATCTAAATAAACCTTCTTTTCTTTCTAGTATGGCTTCAAATTGTAACATGAAACCACATTTGTTTATCCTAAGTAGCTCTAAGTTCGTAACAGTATACATCTACTTATAATTAAATTATATTGTTTTATTGCCCTTTGAACCGCATCTAACTGCTATCCGTGCCATTATAAGTTGTAAATCACTTGGGGAACGTGCAGCTCACATTATGCTATCGAATTACATTACCAACGAGCTGCTCGCGTGCGTGCTTCGTGAACAATTTTAATTATATTATTATTACTATTTTATGTATTCTAGTCTTAAATAAGTTAAAAAGATCCGTACTTTTAATTTTAGCTACTTTTATAATAATAAATAAAGAAGAAATATGAAAAACAAGAAATAAAGTACTTATCCAATCTTCGTTTTTCTTGCCCTCGATTGTCGAGTAGAGTTAAGCCTGATTTTTTCTAGCGATTATAGTGAAGCACTTAACAATTTTTGTTTAATTAAATAATACACCAAAGAATATAGACTAATAACATGCAAAAAGTAGACAAATTCACTTACTTCTAAAAATTTTCCTGGCTTTCTAACTATGAGACAAGAGTCATAACAAATTCATCCAAGCTAGTCATTAACTTTCCCACAGGAACGATGTTGCTACTCAGAGTGACATTGATGGTTATCTGTTCAGAACACAATGTTATACAATACACCATTTGATAGATGAAAACCTTGACTTTCTATTAGTGATAGGTGATTTATAATGAAACGTAAGAGAGAACTATCAACCAATTGTGAAAGAGAGGGTGTGGCAGGAGAAGTCTGATTTTCTCTTTGATAGCTCCGTAACAAAACAAAATTGAAGGCTATAAAAATTATGCTTTGTTTGAGCAATAACAATTTTATAGAGAGCATTTTACATTTAATTTTGTACATTTTCGAAGGGTGGTGGATAAAATAGGGATGATGACATGCTAAGACAGTGTGCCATGTGTGTTACACTATTGGAAATTCAGGATTTTTTTTATATATATTTCCTTTTAGAATTAAGAACTTAAAACTTGTATACTATTAAAATATGGATTATTAGCTAAGATTTTATGCTGTTCTAATTGGTACAACATAAACAAAAAGTAGTTGAGTAAACTTTTGAATGTAAGACACTAAAACCTTGCGTCATGCGCAGTAAAGGGTACCTGGGCCGATAGGGTTAATCAGATCCCCACTTTCCCTCCTCATTATTTTCTCTCTTTCTTGGTTCGCACCACTTTACTTCCCTTCTTCACTGAGGGTTATCCTCCCTCCACCCTCTTGTGAAATTTGCCTGATTGGATTGGACTTTACACTAGTGTGTTATTATTCTCATCCTTCCACTATATTTGTCTATTTCCACTGATAGAAGATTTTTTCTCATTGGTCATTCCTCCATCCATTTCCTCCAGGTAGTGATTCTGTGCACCACCTTTTTTACCAGTTTGTTTATTGAAAGATTTTCAGTCTCAGCCTTTCTTAGTTGTTGGGTGACCATGTCCATTGCTTTTCTCCTTTCCCAATGCCAAAATGTGTTTTCTTACCCTGTTCTTTTGATTCTGTTCTACTCTTTCCCTCTACTCTGCCCTCCTCACCCTGCTCCCTTGCCTTATTGGGGGTTTGCTCAATCTCGTGCCTACCCCATCCTGCCATTTTTTTTTACAGCCATTCTCTCCTGACTTGTTCCATCCTCCTTATTTCCTATGATTACTGTTGTTCCAATATCTATCCTCTATATGCTTCTACATCCTTTGCCATTGCACTTCTCCTTTCTTCTTCCTTGGACTTCAACAGCTTGGAGATAAACTGTACTTCTTTCCCATCTCCCTTCCCTTTCTGTACTATTAGGCCATCTGGACCCATCTTGGCTACTATGTCCTGTTGGACAGTTCTGCATTTCTTATCATGGACATCTTAATTTATTGGTCCCACCTTCATCTGTTCTTATCCTGGGACCCCTAATTTTCATGAACAATGGAGGATTAAAGTTTTCATTAAATTATGAGAGTGTGAATTCAGAACAAAACATGTAGCCTATACATTTTAAGAATCTTGAAATTTTAATTGTTGTAGCCATGTGAAAATTAATATTTGAATGTCCATTCAAAAACATCATAAAGATGAAGTATTATAGGAAACTCAAAAAGTCATGTGCATATAAAATACCCAAATCACAAGAACTGAAATTTATTATGTAGCTTGAGACTTTCACTTTAGAATATCTTGTTTTAAAACAATTTGCAAGCATTTCAAATCTTCTTTACATGTTGTCATATTTTTCTGTTTAGCTATTATGGTGAGTGTTTGTTTTTGATTTTACCTACATGCCAAGATGCAAAATAGTAAAGAAAAGTTCTGTTTTTTTTTTGGCTAAGCTGTAGGTCAGAATCTGATATGATCTGATTTCTAGTTAATAACATGCTATTGGCTGCTTGCTTTTTTAGAATTTATAACATATATACAATAATATGCTAAAATACAGACAAAGTAAGTAAAATGTCACTTCGAAACGTGTGACTTGGGTTTTTCATTTAATTTTCTCAGATGATTCTGATTCTGTGTTAAATAACTAATATCATTAATATCATAAGTATAATTTTTGGTGCAAAAAGTTTTCTATTTGTACATTTTAGTTATGTAGTGACCATATGTCTAAATAATACTTTTTTCTGATAGTGCTTTGTTAGCATCTAGTATAATCTGATATATTACAATTGCATTTATATCATAAAATATGTATCTACATTAAAAAAAATAACTCTCCAACCTACCTTATTTTTTTCAGCATGTAGTAGAAAACAAAGCTTTTTTTTTTCTCTAGGTTTAGGTTATTAGACTTGCATACAAATTCTTGAATAATCTACATCTCTATTCCCCATGATAATTTTATTTGCACACAAACTTTTGATCCTATTCTCAAAAATATGAAGTCCTTTTATTTTATTGTTTTATATTGTGGCAACTACTTTTACTGTCCAGTTGTTGTTCAAGCTGATTGAAAGTTAAGAACCACAGATATGATAATAATTTAGTAGATAGACATCATTACCTTATTTATGATTGAATGCCAATTGAATACTGTCAAGATTGACATCAGTTGTATTCGTAACAAAAGTAATTATATGCTGGGAATTACAAAAGGAACTGAAATTTCAAATAAGTTATGTAGTTTTTATGCAGAAATTTTCAGAAAACAAATTTTATAATCATGTGCATTTAAAAGTAAAAAGGCTTGATTTATCAGACAACAATAAAGTGATTGTGACCAAAGAACATCTATTGTTTGATAATTTTGAGTGTATTTTTTTTCTGGTATTAACTACTAAAACTTGACTAAGCAACAAAAAAAAACATTCTGTTGTAACCTATAGTTTAGTAAATGAATGGAATGAAAAATAAAAGTTTCCAATAAATCACTGTTTTCTATGTTATATATGGGCTAAATGCTGTGTTTACAAATTCTAGAAAAATGTTAATACCTTTTTGAACATATGAAAGTATTTTTGTTCTCAAATAAAATCTATTAAACCATTTAATGACAAAGTGATTAATAATGTTACATAAGACAGAGCTTTTTATTTGGAAACTGTGCAGAATATGATAAACAATGGTAACTTTTAAAGATGGACATACCGTATTTTTCGGAATATAAGATGCACCCTTATATTGAAGACAAAGTTTTGGGGGAAAAAAACTACAGTCGCATTTGAAAAATTTTTATTGAACAAAAATTACAGTTTGATAC